TCCCCCCCCCCAGATGGACGGCAGAGGCTGGCGGATAGAAAGTGGGGGGCGAGGCGACCGAGAGAGCCAGGCAGCGGCCATGTAGTATCCCAGCCACCTAGGCTCCAGTTTTGTCCAGGCCAGGCCACCCCCTTGTGATCCTGCCCCCCCGAAGGGTGCCATCAACTTCCCCCCCTCCACATCTGCCACCTTTGGCTGCCTGCGATGATTTTAAGCAGAACTGGGTAGAGCCAGGCAGCGGCCATGTAGTATCCCAGCCACCTAGGCTCCAGTTTTGTCCAGGCCAGGCCACCCCCTTGTGATCCTGCCCCCCTGAAGGGTGCCATCAACTACCCCCCCTCCACGTCTGCCACCTTTGGCTGCCTGCGAGGATTTTAAGCAGAACTGGATGACAAGGGGTGCAGGGGGGCAGAGGGGGCATGCAATGTGTTGTGCCTGGGCAGGACCCAGCCTGGAGGGCCCTGACTAGGGACCCAGGGTGTGGAAGGGGGGGGAGAGAAAGGCCTCATTCCAGGCCACAGAAGCAGACACAGGCTGGAATGGGGTGTCAGGGTCCCAGGCCCCCTCTGCTGTGACTGCTTGGGTCCCTCGAGGCTCCCCAGACCCCCCCCACGGGCAGCAATGCACCAGCTCTGTCCAGCCATTACACCCCCCCACGTCCTCTGTCAAGCAGAGGGCAGGACAACGCTGGCTGCATAAGCCTCTCTTGCTCCCACTGAACCTCCTTCCTCTTGACTACCCCCAAACTGCCCCCCCCTTCAAGGCCCTCTGAAATTCCCAGATTTGGGAAAAGGATTTTAAAAAGGAGCCAGGAGTACAAGCCCCCAGCGAGGCCCACTGGATCCCTTTCTCCTTTCTTCAAACTCGGGGTGGCAGTGAGGGGGGAGGCAGGGGCACCTCCCAAAGATCGGCCTTTAACCCCTGCCCTCCAGAGTTTCTAGAGCAAAGCGTTTGCCCGAGGCCTCCCATCACCTTTGCGCCAACCCCCCCTTCGCCCTGTCTCGCCTTAAAAGAGAGACAGAGTCCAGATCCCCAGGAAGAGACACACCAAACGCCCCCCCACACACACACAATTCTGGTGGGCCACAGGCAAGACAGGAAAGCAGGGGTGCTCTCCTGCCCATGGCCTTTAAAGGTAGGCTGCCCCCCCCCCACTGTGGAGGTTCCAAAAAGTGGCTAAATCACCACTGCTCAGAATCAGAATAGGATCAGAGGCTTGGCAAAATAAACAATGCATATTCCAGGAGAGAGGTTGGGGGGGGGCAGGAAGGCCCTTGGCCCACAGGTGTAACGGGGAAAGGTGCAGACACGCTCCCAGGGGGCCTCCCATGGCCGAGCAGGGGCAGCCTGGAGGCTGAACAGGCCCTGGATGGCCTGGAGGTGCACGTGGGGAGAAAAACACATCCCAAAGACCACAGAGATGGAGCACAGGAGAAGTGAACTTTTGCACCAGATCACAAGAGATCATGTGAGCCCCCCCACCCGCGGGCGCCCCAGAGAATTGCGTCAGAGCAAGACCCACAGCTGCCTCCTGATCGCCGGGACGTCTGCCTCCCACAGAGCCATCCTGCCCATCCCGAGGGCAGCTGGCCTGGCTCTCCAAATTCACGCTCGCAGCAGTCGTGAGATTCCCCCCCAAGTGAATCAGAGCGCGGAGAGAGGCAGCGAGTTCGTTGCACGGCGTGCCTGGCAGGAGGGAATAAAAATAGGACGGGATCCTTCTTAGTCTGGCTTCCCATAGCGTGGGAAGTGTGAATGCCTAAGAGCAACACAGAGCCCTTTGTCATACCGGTGGATGGGTGGAATGGCGGCTGAGAGAGCTCTGTGCCTCTCCGTGGATGTGTCAGGGAGAGGGAGACCACGAATCCGTGAGCAGGAGGGCACCGGCCTGGCCCGTGGCAACAGGCCCGGCTCGTGGCACCGCTACAGCGCAGGCAGCTGGATCCAACCCTCCAGGCTGCTCGGAAAGAGGCCCCTTTGCGCCAAGCAGGCTGGCCAGAAAGAAGCTTTCAACCCCTTCCCTTGAGCTCCGCCCCCCCCCTCTGAATCCTTTCCCTCCTCAGCCAGGAGCCACTGGCTAAACGGCTCTCAGAGTAAGGAAGGAAGCCTTCCGCACACTCCCGCACACACACTCACACGCTTGCGTGCACAAACACACAGAAGTCACAGCTCCGCTCTGATTTTCCACGTTCCACTGGAGACCAACGCTTCTCCGGTGAATCCTTCCTGCCTGGTTTTAAGCAGAGTGCTTCTCCTCCCAGGGAGACCTCCTTGACTACAAGCTGGAGGTCCTGCTTTAGAGCCGAGCAGGGGGTCCTGTGGGGCTCCCCTGGCAGCCCGGCCTGGCAGGTGTCTTCCCCCCCCCAAATATTTATGCAGGATTTGTACCCCGGAGGTCTGCCAAGGCCGTGAGCAACAGCATCCGTCATGGTAATAATGTCAATATAAATACAATAAAATGTCAATAGCGATAAGCACAAATATGAGAGGGATAGAGCAATAAAACCCACAGACACTGCCCTTTAAAACTCTCTGAAACCAGGTGCGGGGAAAGATTTACTGTCTGTACCGGCCATCCATCTTCTGCAGGCAGGCCTGCGTTGAGAGATGGGCAGGCAGGGAAGGGAAGGGGCCACCCGAGGCAGCAACGAGAGCAGTGCAGGACAGTTCTGTGCTAACAAAGGCTTGCAAATTGCCTTCAAGGGCTGTCCCTCGCACAGCATGTTACAGTAGTCAAACCGGGGGGGGGGCTTACTGGAGAAGAGGAACAGGGAATGTGCAGAGCAGGGGACAACTTGCTGACCCACAACACAGAGTCCCTAAGAACCAGATTTCTCTCCCCCCCCCCTCCAATATCCTGTTTTCCTGAGTCCCTAACACCATGCGCTCTCTCTCTCTCTCTCTCTCTCTGCCTCGGCCAGTTCCCGAGGGCCGCCCGAGGCGTCTGCCATGGAAAGGCGGCTGCTGGCACTGTTGCTGGTCCAGCTGCTGAGGGCGGGGTGTGCGTCGGCCCAGGTGGAATCCTGCCCCTTCCACTGCGTCTGCCAGAACCTCTCCGACTCGCTCAGCACCCTCTGCGCCAACAAAGGCCTGCTCTTCATCCCACCCAACATTGACCGCCGGACGGTGGAGCTCCGCCTGGCCGACAACTTCATCCAGGTGGTGGAGCCCCCGGACTTCCTCAACATGACCGGGCTGGTGGACCTCACCCTCTCGCGCAACACCATCGACACGATCCGCCCGTTCGCCTTCGGGGACCTGGAGGGACTACGCTCCCTCCACCTGGACAGCAACCGGCTGACGGAGATCCAGGAGGAGGCGCTGAGGGGCCTCCTGAACCTCCAGCACCTCATCCTGAACAACAACCAGCTGGTGGACATCTCGGCGGCCGCCTTCGACGACTTCCTGCTGACCCTGGAGGACCTGGACCTCTCCTACAACAACCTCCGCCGCGTCCCCTGGGAGGGGATCCGGGGGATGGCCTACCTCCACACCCTCAACCTGGACCACAACCTCATCGACTTCGTCCTGGAGGGGGCCTTTGGGGAGCTCTACAAGCTCTCCCGCCTGGACATGACCTCCAACCGCCTCCACACGCTGCCCCCGGACCCCCTCTTCGCCCGCTCCCAGGTGGGGGTCGTCAGCCCCACCCCCTACACCCCCACCATCGTGCTCAGCTTCGGCGGCAACCCCCTGCACTGCAACTGCGAGCTGCTCTGGCTGCGCCGGCTGGCCCGCCTGGACGACCTCGAGACCTGCGCCTCCCCGGCCCCGGTGGCCGGCCGCTACTTCTGGTCGGTGCCTGAGGAGGAGTTCACCTGCGAGCCGCCCCTCATCACCCGCCACACCCACACGCTGTGGGTGCTGGAGGGCCAGCGGGCCACCCTGAGGTGCCGGGCCATCGGGGACCCCGAGCCCGTCATCCACTGGGTCTCCCCCGACGACAAGATCGTCGCCAACTCCTCCCGGACGACCTCCTTCCGCAACGGCACCCTGGACCTCTTCGTGACCACCATCCGGGACGACGGGGCCTACACCTGCATCGCCATCAACGCGGCCGGGGAGTCGACGGCCACCGTGGACCTCAAGATCATCCCGCTGCCCCACCGGGGGAACGGCAACGCCACGGCCCTGCAGCCGGACCCCGGCTCGTCGGACATCGCCACCTCCGCCAAGGCGGCGGCCAACGCCACCGAGGGGGGCTCCGAGCGGAGGGTGGAGGTCTCCGAGGTGACGGCCTCGTCCGCCCTGGTGCGCTGGGCGCCCGACAAGCCGGCCTTTGCCGCCTGGATGTACCAGATCCAGTACAACTGCACGGTGGACGACACCCTGATTTACAGGTAGGCCCCTCGGGCTGCGTGGGGAGGGGGGGCAATCCCAAAGCACAGTCTCCTCCAGCAGTGGAGGATGGACGGGTCAAGGTCCAAACGGTCTCCTCCTTCTCTGGACTCACAACCACCACCACCCCGCGGCTCTCGGGCTGCCTCTGCGCATCGCGATGCTTGCGGTCGGATCCAGCGTCCCTCCATCTGGCGGGATCCTGGGAGCTGTGCTTGGGAGGGAGGGACTTCCAAAGTTTTCTGCCAGGGTGCAAGGGGGAGCGCCAGAGCTTTCTAGCAGTGCCCCTCCCTTCAACCACAACACACACACACACCCAGGATTCTGGCAAGATAGAGCCTCGGCAGCTGAAGTGGGAAGAAACCGCAACCACAGCACTGTGCAGATATATTCTCAGACACGAACAAGGCTGGGCGATGCTCTAAGGCAAGTTTCTGAGTCCAACAGGACCTTTCATCAGGCTGGGCACCCCGGCCCTTGACAGTGTGAGTGGGAGGAAAGCGAACAAGATAAAAGATTCGGGGGGGGAGGGAGGGAGGGACTGCCTTGCATGCCCTTGTTGACCCTGAAACTTCCCCAACAGAGCCATCTTGATCACCCAGCCCCTCCCTCTGTGGATGGGCAGTTGGGCTCTCCCTTTCCTTCCCAAGACCCCTCCTGTGTGTCCTCCCCCCCCACATGACCCCCACAGCTCCTGGCTGCAGCTGGGGCCTCGGGGACCCCCTCCAGGGCCTCCAGATTCAGAGTCAATGCTCCCACCCTGAGGGAGATTCTGGCCCCTCTTAGTAAGGATGCCAAGAATGCCATTAAGAGGCCAAACAGACCCTGTAAGTCTCCACAAGTGCAGCATCAAAACAACAAACAAATACAAATAAATATCTAGAAACCGGGAGTCCCTCAAGGTGTCCCCCCAAAAGGTCATCTGGCCCACCCTTCCCAGCCGACGCAGGAGGCTTCCCAGAGGGAGGCTCCAGACCCATGGCTGAGAAAACCTCCCTCCAAAGACACCCCACCTCTTCCCGAGAGAGCCACACACTCCCTCAGGAACAAGAGCATCATCCTTCACTATGAGCGACAGCTTGTCTCCGCTGGTGAGGGCCACATGCCTTAATCGAGACACGGTCTCCTAAAGTGCAAGCCTCAAACGGGGTCTTCTTGGTGCTCAACAGCCAAACAGGACACCTCGGGGGACGTTTCCAACCGTCTAAAGGAGGAAAGGGCGCTGGGTGGGGTCGACGAGGTCCTCCCTTTGGCAAAATCCCAGACATTCGTCCAGATGCCTTTCATGGGGGCTTCTTGTGCCACCACCTTTGGCCGGCCGGACTGCGGGAAGGCTCCGGAGGTTTGCCTGGCACGGTGGCAGAAGGGGGGGGAGATCGGTGCCCGGGTGGACGGGTGGGTGGGCAGGTGTCCCACGAGAGGTGCCTCCCACTCCCCTCTCTTTCTCTCCATCTCTCTCCCCCTGCAGGATCATCCCTGCCAGCAGCCGTCACTTCCGGCTCAAGCACCTGGTGCCCAGCGTGGACTACGACCTCTGCGTCTTGGCCATTTTTGACGACGCGGCCACCTCCCTGGCCGCCACGCACCTCCTGGGCTGTGCCCAGTTCTCCACGCAGGAGGCCTACCCGGACTGCCGCTCGCTGCACGCCCACTTCCTCGGAGGGACCCTGACGGTGATTGTGGGCGGCGTCATCGTGGCCACCCTGCTGGTGTTCACCGTGGTCATGATGGTGAAGTACAAGGTGTGCGGCAGTGCCCGGGGGGCGGCCCTGCCCAAGGTCACCCACGTCCACTCCCAGACCAATGGCAGCGCCCCCTCCAACGGGCTGCTGCTCCCCCGCCAGCGGACGCCCCCCAAGGAGGGCGGCCCGGGGAGGTCGCGGCCAGGGAGGGCCAGGGGGGCCCAGCGCAGGACAGGGACGGGCGGCCTCGGGGCCCCCGCCTGGCCCCCTCCCGCCCCCGCCAAGGCCAAGCGGAGCAGCTCCCTGGACATGGGCGAGGTCTCCGCCTCCCCCTCGCCCCACGCCTGCTACAGCTACGCCAAGCGCCTCAGCTTCCTCTGGACCAAACGCAGCCAGTCCGTCCACGGGATGCTGGCACAGTGCACGGCCGCCCACGAAGACGCAGCGGCCAAGAGGATCGGGCCCTTCCTCAATGCAGACGAGCTGGAGGAGAGCGTGGTATAGCCCACAATGGTTTTCCCTCAGAGGAGCGCAACCCCCCTTCTCCCCCCCCCGGATTTGGGAGCCTGCGCTGGCACGAATCAGGGCCAAGTCTGTGCCTGGGTGTCAGGAATGACGAGGGGTGTGTGTGTGTGTTTGTGTCAAGGAGCAGGAAGGCCTCTCCTCGCTTGGAGGCCACCCAGCGTGACTTGGCTGTGCCACGCGCCTCGGGCAGGCTTGGAAAAGTGTGTCGCCTCGCACGAGGAAACAGTGAGTCCGTGGAATGACCGCACGGCCTGGCACCAGCCCCCTTTTCTCCGAGAAGGGCTGCCCCCGCTCTGCCCGTCTGGGCTAAGCACCGTGGAGGATCCTCGCCCAGGAAACGAAGGAAAGGAGATGGGGTGGCCGAAGGAGCATCGCTGCAGTGGGAAGAGGAGGAGGAAGGCCACCCTGGCTCCTTAGGGCCAGCTGGTGCCGCCCCCCCCTTTGCTCTGTCTTGTGCACCTGGCAGGGTGTGCCTGGCGGGGCATCTGGTGGGCCCTGGAATCGATTGTGGGGGAGGGAGAAGGGTGTGTGTCTTTGTGTGTTTTTCTTCGAAAATCCATTTGCCAAAAAAGAAAGGGAGAATCCCATTAGAAGGACACAAGCGCCCTCAAGCCCCTCCCTGCCAGAGCCACCATTAAGCACAGGATGGCAGACAAACTGTATCAAAGACCAAAACAGGGCAGAGATTTGGAGGTCTGCACCCCCCCCACCCGAGGGATGGGCAAGGAAGGGGGGCAAAATCCCACCAGAAGTCAAACCCAGATTCTGTACCAGTCAAAGCCGGATTTTTGTGATGTGTATAAATTGGGAACATTTGCATACATAGGTTTTGTTTTTGCATACATTCCACCGCTGTTGTTAAGTGGTTTAATTATGGGTTAGGGTGGTGGTGGAGGAAAAGGCCCCTCTGCTTCTTCCGGTCTTCGGAGATTTCACAGAGAAGTCTTTGATCTTGGCAGTCAAAATGAGACTCAGAAAGAAAGAAGGAAGGAAGGAAGAAAGAAAGAACAGAATCACCCCCAAAATTTCAGAGTACGGTGTGTGTGTGTGTGTGTGAGAGAGAGAGAGAGGGGGGGGGATGGGAAACTAATGACATGAGAGGTGGTGATCCTCCTTCAATCTGCAAGGTCCGGATCCCCGGATCCATCCCTTTCAGCCACTCTTCTGCAGGCAGCTCCTCTGAGAAAAGGATTTTACACGCAGGTCTTGCGGGGGGGGGGGGGGGCGGTCATGGAAAACGCCGGCTGCCTTTTGGGCAGGTGGACAAGGACTTGAATGTGGGAGGGGGGAGGAACCCGGAGGCCTCGGGAGAAAATGTTCTTTTCTGCCTTCGTTCCAGGGAAGGAGGGGGGTCTAATCCTTCAACTCTTGGGTGGTGTGTGTGCGGGTGTGTGTGTGTGTGGGTGCGTGATGGAGGCTGCTGCAGAGTTCCAACTGTGAGCATAAAGGGTGGGAGTGAGGAAGGGCTCTGGGTTCAGAGCAGACCAGCGTGGTGCCCCCCCCCAAGCCAGCTCAGCAGGACCCACTCCCAGGTGCAGCAGGGAGTGGCTGGGATGGGGGTGGCTGGAGAAAACACCCTGGCCTGGTGTAGCTCCCATCCCTTTCAAGGAAGGAGCCCCCCACCCTGTCCCCAGCCGACTCCCTGCTCTGCTTGCGCCCTCCAGGACGGGCCAGAAGCCCTTGCGTGCTGGATGCCCTCAAAAGGCCCGGGACGAGGGCTGACGCCACCCAGAGACACCCAGAAGCTTCCGGGGTCAAGCCACGGAGGCCAGGGCCCAGAGAGGCCACCGGCCCTCTGCGCGGAGGCTCCCTCAGGTCTCCGTGGAGGAGCCCTGGGGCTGGATCTGACTTCCTCAGTCCAGCCGTTTTTGGGTTTATCCTCCATGAAATGACCCCCCACCCTCACCCCCTTTGAAAGCTGTCCAGGTTTGGGGAGCCATGTTGGCAGGCGGTGTGTGTGTGTGTGTGTGTCTGTGCACACAGAGCGCTATTTCCTAGATCCAGACACGAACCCTCTGAGAAGAACGCCACGGTTTTCTTGCCCTGTTTTTAAACTCTGCGGTGAGAAGGTGGTGATGCCAAGCCAGCTCCGCTGTGCTCCGATTTCCCTGCCGGGCAAATTGGGCTTTTGAACCGTAAGGGAGGACTCAGTGAACTCTTCCCAGTCCCTTTGCCCACCAGCCAGAGGAGCCGTCCTTGCTGCCCTCCTGGGAGGGAGCCGGGGGGTGGGGGGGGCTGGTGCCCGTCCCACCCTATGAACAGAAGGAGGGCAGAGTAGCTCTCGGCTGCCCAGGCAGGCAGGACGCGGCGGGACAGGGAGGAGAACGCCGGGCTGAGGAGGGAGAGAGAGCCCGGCCTCCGGCAGCACCATCTGGGAATGGCCAGGGCTCTGCCCGGCTCCCCACCGCCTCCGCCAGCCAGGAGGCAGGATCCAGCAACCCAGCGCGCTCCCTCTTGCAACACAGCAACAGACAAAAATTTGCTTGGTCACTCTCATACCGTGCATTTAAAACAAAGGCAGAAACCTCTCTCCCTGCAACATAGCTGGCGCCTACCTGCCTTTTAGCCTCCCCTCCTCCCATGCAACTCTCCCGACTGGTACATCGCCCACTGCAGCCATCAGCCGTTCCCCTTGGGAAACCCAAGGTCTCCCAGAAGGTCATCTAGTCCAGCCCTCTGTCGGTGCAGGGAACTCCCAGCTGAGGCACCTCGGGCTGATGCCAGCCCGGCCTGTGTTTCAAAACCTCCCAGGAAGGCGAGACCACCACCTCCCGAGGAAGCCTGTTTCCACGGAGGAGCAACTCTTACTCTTAGGAGGAAATGCCAAGTAAGGATACCTGGTTTCATGTCACCTGCAGAACAATAGGCAGGCAGGCAGGCAGGCAGGCAGGCAGCCGCTGCCGAGGGATCCAACCTCCTGGGATGCTGGTCTGGAATTAGCCCCCCTCCCGCACTGGCGCAGGACCACGCTGCCCGCAGCAGGCTGGCCTCTGCTCTCTTAGCCTTGCACCCGTCTCTCTGGATCCGTTGACCCTGGGCCTCAGAGGAGCTGAAAACAACAGGCGGCCTTTTGCTTTTCACACTCACACACTCGCAGAGAGAGTCCCTCCTTGCACCCAGTGAGCCACCGTCTCTCCTCCTGCACCAAGGGGTGCTCATTTGGCAGTCCTGGTGAAGGGGGGGCTGCTGACTGGCTTATCTTTGGGGCTTGTCCTTAGCAAAGTCTGATGGCAGCTGACCCTCTGGAATCCAAGGCAGGCCAGAACTGGCTTCCCAGGCTGCCCCCCACCCCGTTCTCTCATTTTCAAAATTTTGTGATGCATTGAGCAGGCAGGCTCAAATATGTTTTTAAACTCAGCGTGTGTGATGGTGTGTGCTGAGATGGTGGGGTGCACCCCAGCCGCCCCCCCAGGACCCCCCTGTGCCTGCTGGATCACTCAGCTTCCCCGTGATGCTCTTAACATCTCAGG